AAGGGTCTTGTTTTCTTATCCCTTCTGACACTCTCTGTCTCTTCACTGGTGCATTCAATCTATTGATGTTCAATGTAATCATTGATAGGTGTAAATTAATTTTGTCATTATGTTTTTGTGTGTGTGTGTGTGTGTGTGTGTGTGTGGTGTTGTTCATTCCTTTCTTCTGCATGCCATCTTGTGCTGAGTTCATATTTTTTGTGCTATTTCTTGTCGGTTTCTTCTTAGTTTAAATGTTTCATAGTTCTGCTTGAATTTCCAGTTTCATGGTAAGTTGTGAAGTATTAATTCTCTCTGGGGTTACCCCATAGTCTATTAACATTTCCTTGCATTTAAGACAGTCTATTGTATCCTGCAATCTACTTTACCTAATCACCACCTGAATCTCTGTTTCTATGTTTTCCCCTCTTTGACTTTGTTGATGTTTTGATCTTTGATTGGTCTCCCAGGTCCTCTGAATTCATTATTGTAATTTTGTTCTCTTCTGAACTCTGCTATATGTCTACTGAGTTCCGGGTGGTATTGCCACGTTTGTCAATCTCGAGTTGTTATCTGTTCTTGTTGGTTTTCATTCTAAATAACTCCTTTTAGGGTGTTTTGAAGCACTGGTTTGGCTTTGACAAAATATCTTAGCTTTTATTTATCCTGGAATGGTTTGATTGAACCATCGTATTTGAAAGCTCCCACCTCCAGAAAAAAAGTGGGACCAAAAGGACCAAAAACAGAAACAAATAGCAGAGACAAAAACCATCACTCAAAAACAAGAATAAAACTGTAGCTGACTGTCCAGTAGCCTTTGCCGTGCAGGTCAGTGTGTGTGCACTGTAGAAGCCTCCAGAAGGGTGTGGGGGTGTCAACTCGCTCCAGCTTCTCCTCTAGCCAATGCCGTGGAGGTGTGCAGATAGATATTGAGAGGTAAATGGAAGGAAGATTGTTCATTATTTCTGAAGGTCAGTTATGTATCTGCATCTGCACAGTGTAATTCTCAAAATAGTTGCACCCTTTTATATAGTAGTTGGTGTTTGCTTTTGCCTTTTATATTGAGGTTTTATAAGTTTCACATACATTTTGGCTACATGGCCAGGCCTACTTCTTTCTTGCTAGGTAAGTCAGGTGTAAAGGGTTCCACCCAGATCAACTTTAGGGCTGGGTCCCAGAGCAGATGTCATAAGAAGCTACAAAAGTATCAATCTGTGGGGCCAATGGGACTCTTCCCAGGAACATCTTCTCTGTACTGTTGGAAAACTGTGGGCACAATGCTGGAACTTTTGGGGGGTGTTCTCCCACTTGCCTGAAGGTGTCCAGGCTGTGCAGTAAGGGTGAAACAGGGGAGAGGAGGATGGAAAAGTAGATAATCTGTCACATGTCTTTTCCCAGAAGCTTCACTGTTTTTTGTGCTATGTCACTGTACCTATCTGGCTGTGACCCTGCCCTCTGATTTATACCCAGGCCTATGGGTTGTCAGGAGTGTCCTACATCCCATGTCCTGCATTCTGAGACTGGATTGGTTCAGATTCAGCAATTGCCATATTTTCCTTTTCATAGTCAGATTTCTCCACTGGTGGACATGGGACCCCGGCACCCAGCACCAAAACTCTAAGGCTGTTCTGGGAAGTGCTTTCTCTAGTTTATACGTGCTTCCACTGAGGAACCTCCCCTACCTGTCTCTTAAATTTTGATATTTTTGTTTAATAAAGATTTCAATGATATTATAGCAATAATTTTTGACTTGCATTCATATATCTTGTTTAATATTAATACTTACTGTGTTCCAACTGACCTGTTGACCTAGGTCAGTAAAATACAGTGTAACAATGGAGGAAGCTGCAATACTTTGAATGGTGACATAGTCATTCAAAAAAGGTGCATCTAAAATAAAAGATAACAAGGAATATTATTATAACACAATTTTAAAAGAACTACTGTCAGTTGAGTGCACTTAACAGAGCAGTTTTTATATTAAAAAGACTATACACTTGTTTAATTTCAATGATCACAATTTTTTCCATGTAATATCAGTTATTTTGTATCTCTATGTCTCTTGTTGCCATTCCATCCTACTTCCTAACTCGTATGAAGATTTTCCTTAGGTAGATATTTCCCTTTTGATCTGGAATGATACACTATTCCAGGGTACGCATACCTTGCTAGTGTCATTGTTTTCCCTCTATACCTATATACATTTTGGCTGAACATTGAGCCATGAGAGTAAGCTAATTTCCAACCTCAGTGGTGACCAAGGGAAATAGTCTCAGTTTCTTATTGACCAGTAAGTTTAGTCGTTTGTTTGTTTTTGAATATTATTCCACATATTCTCTCACTCATCATAGAACTTCTAATGAGATCCTTTTGAGAATAGTGTAATGGTATATGTTGTTGTTGTTAAGTACTGTCGACTTGGGTCCTATAATGGTATACAGTTACTGCCTTTTTTTTTTTTTCCCCCTGGGTCTCAGCGTCTTTGAAATTGAAGATGACATGGTCAATTAGTCCATTGCACTAATTGATTCCTAGCATCTTCCATTATCATCACTTTTCACACAGGAGAGACCAATAATTGCATCTTAGATGACTGCTGATGAGCATCACAGTCTCTACTCACAAATATAAGATTGTTATTTTCAAACAGGTTTAAAGCAATTAATTTTAAAACTGAAGGCAATGAAAACAAAGGATGAAAATTATATAAAATTTGCTATAGACAATAAACCTTTAAAGTAAAACAAATTATAAATATACTTATTTCATTAAATATATCAGAGTCCTTATATGGCATTGTAGGATAAGCACTGGGCTGCTAACCAGAAGACCAGTGGTTCAAACCCACTATCTGTTCCTTAGAAACTCTATACGGGATCCCTATGAATAGGGACTGACATAACAGCACTTAACAACAACAATAGCAGCAGCACATCCTGAAATGAGCAATGGATTCTCAATGCTATCTATCAAAACTTCAGACTACCATTACTGTTATGCTATTGCATGCTCATGAAATAAAAGATAATATTAGAAAATATTCTTAGCAACTATATTACATGCTACCATTATTCATTAGACTTCTGCTGGGGTGCTGTAGGATCAGTACTGGAATGTTAAGTACAAGGTTGGTAGTTCAAACCTGCCAACTGCTCCTTGAAAAGCCTATACAGGGTTGCTGTGAGTTGGAACAAACTTGAAGCACTTAAAAACAACAGCAATTATTAATTATGCTACTTTATGGTTAGAAATAAAAGGAGATATTAGAAAATATATTTATCATTTTTAAGTGTAACATTGATTATAGACCATGGATGAAGTAAAAAGTTAAATGTTCCACTACCAGTCAAAATTAACCATTCAAACCCCTTCAGAAAGGCCTCAAAACACATGTCTAGCAATGTGCTTCTGAAAGGTCACACTAATTAAAACCATACAGAGAAATTGAGTTCTGCATGGATGAGATTGTCATGAGTTAGAAGCAAATGATACCAATTACAACAACACTGGGTAATATTAGACCTAAATTAAAGACTCAACTATTCTCTAAATGATTTTATCTGAAGATAAATTAGTTTGAGCAGAGTAATTCCAGCAGTTCATTCAAAATACCCAGGGAAATATCATGATTCCTTTTCTTAAAAAGACCACTCTGGGTAATGTGTAAGAAATGGAAATAAAAACAAGAGTATCACTTAGGAGTTACTAAACAGAATCAAACAGGAGATGTTTATTTGGGTTGGGGTAATATTGATAGATATATTAAAATTTAACAAAATTCCAGTTTTGAATTTTGGATATAGGCATGCTTTAGCTTTCTGAAGAAATGAATATATAAAGAGGATTCAGGGAGATAAAGACAGCTCTCAGAGTTTTGGCATAAACCCTGGGGTATATTGTAATCTCATTATTTGACATGAGGAAAATTGGAAAGGAACAGGCTTTGTGGTGAAAATTAAGGGTTTTCTTCTGGGCCTGTTAACTATGTGAAATGTAATAGATATCCAAGTAGAAGTTGTCAAATAGGCATCTGTTTAGATGAGGCTGCAGATATTTGCAAGTCATTAACATTTAGCTCCCTAGGGCTTGATGAGATTATTATATATTCAAATTGAAAAGAACAGAATGGAAACTAAAACTGAGTTCTTCAGCACTCCAGACTTTAGAAGATGAAGACATAGAAAAGTTTTATTGTAGTTTTACAAATTTACTTGGCAACCACATTGCCCCTTTAGGAATTATCTAGCAACCACATAGTTGGTTAGACAAGTAACCACACAAACCACAAGGTCAACAGAACAAAATGAATGTGAGCGAGAATGTAAAATTTGCTCTTGATCATATAGTAGCTAAAATGAAAAGACAAAATAAGAAAGTAAATAGCTGAACACAAAATTTCAAAAGTCAGCTTGAGAAAACAAAGTAAAAGTATAATAAGTAAATTTGTGCAAAAACTTGGAGGTAGAGAACCAAAAGAGAAGAATACGCTCATCATTTCTCAAACAATACAAACTAAGGGAAAATTTCAAGACTCAAATTGTAAGCTGAAGATTTCTATGGGTCCTGCCCTGTTGTGCCCTGGTGTGGTACTGTAGCATAAGCACTGGACAATTAACCACACTAACCATGAGGTCAACAGTTTTAAATAAAAAGCCACTGGATACCCTATACAGTGTTGTTATGAGTCAGACCAACTCAACACCATACAACAACATGAACAAAATATTAAATGACACAGGAAGCATCAAAAGAAGTAGAAAGAATAACCAAGGTCACTTTAACAAAAATAGTTGGTTGTTGTTCAACTGTCTGGGGGTAGTATATGGTTTAAAATCAACTACTGAAAGAAATTTCCCAAGCTATACTGAAGACATCGGGGAGCAAAAAAGCTCAAAGAATTGAGAGAATACATACCAAAATGTTTCAACAAATGGATGCAACATTGGCAGTGCTTGGTCTCCATTTCGAAGATAGTTCAAAGATAACTACCTGGTCAACCAATTAGAATAGATCAATTTTTGTGTCTGTTCCCAAGGGTAATCCAACAGAATGCAGTAATTTTCAAACAAATAAGTAAAATTTTGTTGAAAAGAATTTATCATCATCACATCAAAGGGATCTTCCAGAAATTCAACTTAGACTCAGAAGATGACATGTAACGAGGAATATCATATTCTCTATCATACAGAACCTGACTAAAGCAGAAAATACAAGATTTTTACCAATGTTTCAATGACAAATCAAAGATATTCAACTGTATATATCCTAACAAACTACGGATAACATTGCAAGGAATAGGAATTTCAGGACAATTAAATGTGCTCATGTAAAACCTATATATAGACCAAGAGGCAGTTGTTTGAAAAGAGAAAGTGGAGACTGTCTTATTTGAAAACCGTAAAGTTGTGTGTCAGGATTATATCCATTCTTCATATTTATTCAATCCCAATGCTGAACAAATAATCTGAAAAAAAGGGGGGGGGGTTATGTTAAGAAGAGCTTGGCAGAAGAGGATTGGAGGAAGACACATTAACAAGTGATAATATGCAGATGACACTACCTTGTTTAGTAAAAATATAGAAGACATGAAATACTTACTGATTATGATCAAAGACTACAACCTTTCATATGGATTATACAAAAACAAAGAAAACAAAAATCCTCACAACTGCACCAATAAGTAACATCATAATAAATGGTGAAAAGACTGAAGTTGTTAAGGATTTCATTTTACTTGGATCTACAATCAGTGCCCATGGAAGCAACTGTCAAGAAATGAAATGGCATATTGCATGAGGTAAATCTGTTGCAAAACGCTTTTTCAAAGTGTTAAAACACACATTTTGACAAATGTGGACCTGGCAAAAACCATGGTACTTTTAATTATCTCAAATCCATGGGCAAGCTGAGCAATGAATATGGAAGACCTAAGTAGATTTGACCACCACTCATCTGTCACTTTGTCCTACTGTGATATGGAAGAGAAACACTATCAGATATGGTGACAGAAAATGAACCCCTCAGTTTGGAAGGCACTCAAAATGCACCTGGGGATTGCTGCCTCCTCAAAGTAGAGTACGTCTTGATAATGCAAATGGAATAAAGCCCCCAAGAACTTTATTTGCTGATGGGACACAGCTTAAAATGAAGAGAAACAACTGAAAATATCCATTAAAAATCAGAACATGGGACATACAAAGTATGAATCTAGGAAAATTGGAAATTGTGAAAAAATGAAATGGAATTCATAAACATTGATATCTTAGGCATAGCAAACTGAAATTGGCTGGTATAGGCCATTTTGAATCTGACAACGACATAGTTTACTATGCTAGGAATGAAAATTGCAGAAAAATGATGTTTCATCCATCATCAAAAAGAACATATCAAGATCTATCATGAGGTACAATACTGTCTGTGATTAAATAATATCCATGTACCTACACTGAAGACCAGTTAAAACCACTATTATTCAAATTTATGCACCAACCATTAAAGCCAGTGAAGATGAAATAAAAAAAATAAAAAAAAATCTACAACTTCTTAAATCTGAAATTGATCAAACATGCAATCAAGATATATTGATAAACAATGGCGATTAGAATGCAAAGGTTGGAAACAAAGCACAGGATCAACAGTTGGAAAATATGGCCTTGGTGATAGAAATCATGCTGGAGATTGCATGATAGAATTCTGCAAAACCAATGATTTGTTCCTTTCAAATATCTTCTTTAGGCAGCATAAGAGAGGACTATACACATGGACTTCACCAGATGAATACAAATAAATCAAATTGACTACATCTGCTGAAAGAGACGATGGAAAAGCTCCATATCGTCAGCGAAAACAAGTCCAGGGGCAGTTTGTGCAACAGACCATCAACTGCTCAT